TAAACATTTCAGGTCCCTATCTCTTTCGAATAATGAACTATTGGACTCCAAATGTGCTGAACATCTTGGATCTCGTTTGTAGAACTAAAATCCATAGAATAGCAACAACTCAACTCTTTTAGCTGAAAATTTTGTTTTGAACAGAGCTCATTGATTTATGTATTCAAGCGAAATTTGTACTTCATCGGCCAAGCCATCTCTGAAATGTTGAATCATTGAAGCCCTCTTTTATGGAGTTCTGTATTTTAAGGGCTTTCGAAAACAAATTTATTTAATATCGAGGGATCGAAATATGTCAAATGGTTTACGCCTAAGTTCATAAAACTCTCACCTCTACAACATACCTGAAACTGAACAAAATCTGGAAACGTTGATTGAGCACGCTCTCTTTACGTCGTTTGTGGCTTACTTTTTGAAGAAATTCTTAAATCTCTTATTCTTCTAATCTGACAAGGTTGGTTCTTCTTACTTAGTTTTTTATTTTCGACTATTTTCATTAATAATGGAATAAATTGACTTACTTTAGCCAAATTTAACTATTGCAAACACTTTCACAAGAGTTTAGGTAGGTATCAGTCTTGAATGCCAAGATTCAGGTTTCACGTTGCTCAATGAAGACGGTCATCGGATCACTTTGACTTTGTCGTATTTGTTCAAAGTAATAATAGATATCTGACGTAGACGGTGTGAGCCTCGATTGTCCAAAGTCAGTTTTGTATTCTATTGATGATGGCTGTGCCTAGAATGGGAAAGGAAGGTGAAAATAAGGGTGAAGAAAAGTTCGACATCCATACGAACGTGCTTACCCAATTTTATTGCGCGTTATATTCTTAAACTTGAAAGTTTAATATCTCAAGTTTCTCTGAATCAATCTTCATGATTTTTCGATTAGATCTCTTTTATAAGTGTTTGCTGCGACACAAAATATTGCGGTTTTACCTCCAACAGTTCTCGAAATATTATACGAACAAGATTCGAACGACCAATTTTTCTATGATCTATGGATCAAAAATTTCGTTTAACAGATTTGTTCTCGTATCATTTAAACTTCAGAAATTGGCAAATTTAGAGTAAGCAGTCTATACTTTTCGAATATGAAACTGATTGAATCTTTTATCGTGAGTTTTATTAAATTGTTTTTCTGAACATAAGATGTGCAGTCATTTCTCAACTTTCTGTCATGCCAAATTAAAAATAATTGTGAAATTGAAAATTTATCCAAAAATAGGCGAGATGATGTTAAATGAAAGTCAGTCAATGGAAAATAAAACCTGTAACGACAAATCAGAGGAGTAGCTTATCGCCGCCCTTGATAATGAGGTTTATTGGGGTACTTCAAATCTCCAGAATATGCATACTTGAAATAATACACATTCTTATATAAGAAAGAGCAAGAGAGATAAATGAACACAGACAAGAACAGTAGAGATAAGACAAAGAAGTAATATCAATATTGGCACAAAACTGTGTAAAAAGATAAGAAAATTGTTTTATTTCATGTTTATAGAAAGCAGTGAAACACGACTTGAAAATTTGATTACCAAGCTGGAATTTACGAGAGATTTTTCATTTTGTCTGATGTGTAACTCTCTTAAGATATGACAGTTTTAGATGAAACTTGCATCGTTCGATCCAATCTTTGTAGTCAACTATCGCTGGAAATATTAACGTTAGAAAACTTTTGGTTTATGAAACAAGAAAAATTAGTGGTAATGTGTCATGCGAGGTTACAACATATATAACATTTCACAACTGAGATCAAAATAAAGATTGGTCTTCAGATTAGGCACATACTCGCATCTAAACACAGTGCTGAACGTGAAAATATGTGTACAGACTACATATATATTAATGACGAACCCATCATGATAGTCATTTGGCCCAAATAATATCACATCGTGAATATATAGCATAACACACTGTTAGATCCATGTAGTCGAGATTTATCAAACTTTGACTTTCAATCAATTAATAATAATCGATCAAGCGAATCAAATGCCGCTTCATCGATAGTAAAAATGGTTTTTGGACGAGAATTAGGACACTGGGGTAAAATTCGATGAAAAACATTTAAAGATTTTTTAAATATTGTTGGATAAGCTGTTTTATGTTCGTGTGCAAGAAAATCTAATGAATCACCACGATGTTCAATAATAAGACACGATTGATCTAGAGCATGACATTCAGTGAATAATGGTTGATCAAAGATCAGTTCATCGAGAATCCAATTTACTGATTATATATTCGTTGCTGATGAATAATTTCTATCACAAAGCATCAATCTAGGTGCTCGATACTGTCATGTACATACTAAAAATAACTTTTATTCAAATTCTCTCTATTAATATAATTAAAAACAAACTAGCCTAGCCAGTCGTTGATGCATTAGTTTCTTGCTCAGGTACACGAACAAGACCTATATCTTTATTACGTATATGATTATTAAGATGAATGAAAATATTACTTGCTATAAAATCTCGATGCATTAAGAATATAAAACACTAGATTTAAATCTTTTAAAAATTTAATAATATGCTGACAAACTTTAGCTGGATGAATAAATTTCAATACTCGTAATAAAAACAAAGTCGCCAGTTTATCATAAAATCATAGAGTCAATTCAATCTGATGCTGTCATGGACGGAAATAAATCATTTCATTTTTTTATAAAATCGAAGAATCGTACCAATTGAGCGAGTCGCATCTAAATAGTTGATAGAAATCAATGTGAAATATAGACAAATCAAATGATTCATGATACATCTTTGAGAAAATGTTCTGATCTTGTTCATTTAAGAAAAACAAACTACATTGAGGGAACTTAGATGAATGTGGATGTGAGCGAGTGTGACTGATAAGAAGGACACCACTCTGAATCAACACCCAAGCCCTAGATGTGATTAGTCCGGCGAATCACTCACAATCAGCGATCAGCGAGCTCAGATGGTCAATGTTCAAAACATGAAATGCGAATTTTCTCATTTTCCTGTCTGATATTTCGTTTTTTTTAGGTCGATTATCGATACAAATACGATAGGCAATAGAAGCACTCGAATTTAGACGATCGAGAAATAGAATTAATAGAGCCCGATCACCATGAACTGTTTTGAGAGAATTTCAGTGGGAACTGTAACTAAAATAGTTTATGAATATCTAGAGGAGTTTGAAAGTGAGAAAGCAATTATAAATAAATAGTAGATCATAAAATGAGCGAGTGATAGGCAAAGTTCTCCTCCTATAAGAAACTGAAAGAACATTACTTGGTTAGGTACGTTCGTATTTAGCCGTTTTCATTTATTCACGAACTCCTTCTATTGTAGTTAACAGAAGTACCAGCAGGGGCCATGATAAATGAATACGATGAATGAAAGCCCACGGCCGGGTTTCCTCCATTAATAGTGGTACATGCAGTCCATTTTTTCTAGCCTAGACACTTCTAATTCTCTGTTGACTGCCATCCGAATATGTGCAACTGAATAGAAGAAAATCAGAGAGACGAAAAATGAACTATGTTATTAGAAAGCCTGCTTATAAACGATAAAGATAATGGCATTGTAGATGATTCTGACAGGGGTAATCTGAGTATTGATATAGTAGAATATCGTGGTGAATTCAAATTGGCGTTGTTTGATGCTGTCTATTGTCATTAGTCATGTTGATCTGAATCATTCTCTCATTTAGTTGATTCTTAGTTCCATCGTGAAGCATCTGATTTTAAATGGACATAAAGCTAAGTCTGTTGTCATGCTCATTTACAAAGTTGAAATCAATGTAGAAATACGTCGAATTTTGCACGAAGTTACTTTGCTCCCAAGTTTGTGATGAGCCAGTGTTTGTGTTTTGATGATTAGTGAAGTGTTCTCTAGTCATTGCTTGTCATTCATTTTTATTCGGTCGATGAATTTAATGACACATAAAAAGGCCATGACAAATGTCTGTTACAAGCAAGATAAATTCTTGACAGAAATCTTCGAAAATATATCTGGAAATGAATGATTTTTCGTC